CCGCCGCCGCACCGGGGAGATTTCTGACCGCCGATCGAGGTAAATTTCATACCCCCGACTCGTTTTTCCACGCTGATTTCCCCAGTGACCAAATCGGAGCCAAAATCCCAGCCAAACGGCCGGAAAACAAGGCCAAAAGCCAGCGGCGCCGTCGCGTCCCTCCTCGGTTTTTGCCTCCGATGAGGCCCTTCCCGGCCTCCGTTTAATGCAATTTTTATATCACCGTGATCACCATTCTTTTCTCTACAGGTTGGTCGGAGCCGAATCACCAAAACACGAACTTCATCGGAGAGTCGCCGCACCCGAGAGCACCGCCGCCGGTAAGCTTCGGTTTTCCGTAAATTTTTGGCCCCCCGAGGGCCGTAGGGTTGTTTTATCGCAGGAACCAATGCGAGTGTGGCCGAATTTGGCCGGAGCACGGCGGAGCCGCCGTGCCGGAGTTGCGATATTGGCCGAAAGGGGCCCTGGGCCTAATTTGAGATTTTTTAGAACACGTGCAGGTACCAGTAGTGCGTTTCAGTTCCCCGGGAAAAAATTCAGGGAAAATTAGGAGCAACCTGCAAGCGCACTGTGAAGCCATGTTCGGACCCCGAAACGAGTAAGGACCCCTCACCCTATTTCCTATCACGGTTTTAAAGTTCAATAAATGATAAAACGGTATTTCATGAATTAACGAATGTGTGAAATTGCTTAAGGTCGCTAATGGAGCCCGAGTCTAGTGTGTTTGTCGGTTAACTGTTATTTGGCCTGTTTACAGTTTTAAATGCAGTATGAGATTTGATGTTTTCATTTTATAGTTTCGTGTGCATATTTTACTGTTTTATTAATTATGGATTGAATGACTGGGATATTAATGCTGTATGCTGTCTGTTTGGCATAAATTACCGTTTTGCTTGTTTGTATGTGATTGATGATGCTGACTGAGGAAAAAGAGAATGAAAGATTATGTAAGTGGGTAATTATATAATGTGGTCAGCTTAACTAGATATCCTGGGAGATGGTGGACGGACCGGGTCCGTAGGGAACCCTACCGGGATTGTGGTCTCCCATACCGGACGGGGTATGGAGATCTTATGTGTTTTGGCGCCCATACCGGACGGGGTATGGGGACGGCCCTCGAATCTGATTTCAAGTGTTAAGGGTTAACGGGTAGCGGGACCCCTATGGATCCCCATGGATACTAGTGGGCTGGTAAATGAGGAAAATATATTGTCAACGATTGAATTTCGAAAGGCTTGATAAGTATTACGTTATACAGTTTATATATGATTTCATGATGATAATGATGTTATTGTTTTCGTATATTGTCTTATGAATTTCACCGGGTAAGTGAATGGTAAAGGTTTTATTATTGATAAAAGGTTTTGTTGGAAATTATGCTCCATTAGTTTTTTTGTGTTTTCTACCCACCTTTACCTCCGTGACGGTGAGATATCGTGATGTCTTTACTGGGCTAGTGTAGCTCATTCCTTATTTAATCATTTCAGATCAGGAAGACCTTGTTCCCGAGCCAGTTCCGCAGGAGGACGACGAAGGGGACGCCTAAAGACTCCATAGCCATATTTGTAACTTTTACTTTCAAGTTTCTCCTTTAGGTAGTTTGATCTTTTATATTGTGAGCACGTTTTTGGTTTTAGTGTAAGGGATGTTAATCGAATTTTTGACTTCGCTTCCGCATTTGATATTTTTAATATAAATTCCATTTTAAATTTCCGGGGCTGTTACAGATTTAATAATCTTTTCTTAGAAATTAAATTTTAGGAATCATATATCATCATAAAAGTAATATTAAAATCTTCTTATTCTATGTTTGTTGTGTTTTGAATTAATATACACAATAAGTATTTACCTAGCAGTGACTTTCTATTTAAGTTATTACATGAGAGCCAAGTGATGAAGATTTAGTATATCAATTTAGCTATAATGAAATCGATATGAGTATATTAGGTTTTTTACCAGAAAATATATACATGAATTTTCTTGTACAATGATGAATAAATAGATAAACAAATAATATGTACTTGTGATGTGAGTAAAGAGAGGGTAATTTACGCTAAGTTATACGAGATCTCACGATCAAGATGCAACTCAAAGTCACATGCAAGACCACATGGGAATTTATGGTGATATGGAAGCTTACATGGAGGCTCACGACAATTGATGAATAATTTCTGATCAATTTTAATAATATACAATTGAAATGAAACTCTATATATATTAAGATGACTTTTCATCATAATATTAATTTTAACACTTTATTTTCTAATCATATTAAATATAAATTTATAAATAAATTTCAACCCATTATAGTCTTACATCATTTGGTGTCTAGAAGGTTCAAAGATTTTCTCAAAATAGAACAAATTAACTCAATCAATATGGGCAGAAAAAGCTTCAGTATCTAATCTAGTCCAAGTGCAACCCAATACCCAATCTGACAATTGTAACAACATAATGATTAATAATAATATGAATATGAATATATAACTATATAATATATATAAGTAATACCGAAAAATGTCATATAATTTTTTATTAAAAATTAAAATAATATGTTAATATCAATTATAATTATCAATACATATATAAATAGTACCAAAAAGTATCTTATGGTATATTTTTTTAACTTTTTTGAAGTAAAAGATAAAAATAAAAATGTCAAAAATCAATTATAATTATAAAAAAATATAAAAATAAAATTTTAAATATTACTCAATTAAATTTTAAAATATAAAAGTAAAATGAATGTAATAATTATAAATATATATTATATTGAGATAAAATTTTAAAGATTATCTACTCAAATTTTAAACTATAATAATAAATTAATATGATAATATACATAATAATTATTTATTTAAATTTTAAATGTAAAAGTAAAATTTAATTTACATAATAATTATCTATTTAAATTTTAAAATAAAAATAAAAATATATTTTTAATTAAGTATAAATCATACAATGCACAATTTTTAAATATAAAATAACATAATATTATATATGACGATAATTTATTTAAAGTTTTTAAATATAAAAATAAAATTTAATTTGATATTGATTGCTACTTATATATTGTATTACTAATTTTTAAAATTATAACCGTAACATGATACAAAAACTTTATATATATATATATAAAGAATACCAGAATTTTTAACGTGGCATCTTATTATTTCTAAATAATTTTTTTTTTATTTTAAATTATTTTTGAACAGAAAGAATATGAAATAGATAAAATAGGATAAAAGTGATAGTATATACATAATGGATAAAATATAATTAGAGTGATAGTATATATAATAGTTATTTATTTAAATTTTTTAAATATAAAAAATTATGTATAATGTTCATTTGTTCATATTTTTAGTTGATTATCTTATATACAATTTAATTTTGACTTTAACTATAAATATATAATAATTATTTATTTAAATTTTTAGTTAATTATATTTGTTGAAATTATATTATATAAGTTCTTAATTATCTATTTGTTTTTTATATTTTATTTATCCTGCATATTTTTTATAAGAAAATGTATAATAATTCTTTTACATTTTTATTAGATTTTTTTTTTTAATTTTTATAAATTTTGTAAAATAGTATTATATTATTTTATATAATTATAAAAGATTATAATCAAATTAGAAGAAAGTGAGTTGCTACAAACACTCAATAGACTAAAAGATAAACCTGAAGCGCGTGTACCTCATTGAAAAACCCAACAACAAAAACGCCTTAACTGCATTCTCTGCTTGTTTTGCGCTTATTACAATGTATGGTCTGAAACAAATGGCTGCGACTTCCCAGATAGGAATCGGGCCCGTTTCGACTCACCGAGTCGCCATGTCAGCTCTCTCTCCTCACCTCCCTCCTCCCTCTGTCTTCTTCCTCAGCGCTATCTCCACTCTCCCACGCCCCATCCGCTTCCATTCACCGGCTCGAATTTCTCCGCCTGTTCTCCAAGTCAGAGCCTCCTCAGTCGATGCTCCATCTTCGTCAGGTCCTCTCTATGTCCACCTGCAATATCTTATGCGCTAGTTGCTAGTACTTCAATTGCAGTCTCTCTATTTGACAAATTGGAACTGTTGTGGAGTGTCCGCCGACTAAATTTTTGTTATAAGCAGACAAAGGTTTAAAATAACATTTACCAGGAGTTTTGAAGTGAATGTTGGTGAAATTAGGTGGAGAATCGTGTCATTGCAAGTGGAAGTAGTAATTCCATTAGAAAAACTGAAAAGTTTGTATAGGTAGCAGGATTACTTAGTTCAGTGAGGGGTAATCTTGCTTCCCGGTTTTTCTCTGGCCATTCCTGTATAGTATTTTGTTAATGTGAGTTCCTCAAAGTTAATGTATGGTATTCTGTGTATTATTTCTGTATAGTATTTTACAAATGGCCTCAGTTTAGAGTAATTATTGTTGGTAGAGAAGGTACAGAAGGGTGAGGAAACCAGTACGTTTGAATAAAAAACCCATATATAATACATTTATACACGCATGCACATATATATAAGTACATACATTGACATGTTTTCTACATATGCATTCGTATGTGTGGACATGCATGTTGTTATATGTATAATGTATGTATTTTGTGTGTATGAATATGTTTGCATCTGTGTATTTATCACTGTGTCAAGACACGTGTTTCGTTTGAAAAAAACAAAGATTGTCTATATAGCAGGAAGCTTTGTATAGATGGAGGATAAGTTAACCGATCTTAATTGAGATGATTTGGTCTTTTGCGGGGAGAATGAAAAGGATGTTGACGTATTTTCCGGAAATGTGAAATATTCATGAAGTATAATCTGTTATACAAGATAGGTTGTTAGATTTGTCGAAGTAGGTCTATGGATTTGCTTAGCTTGTTGCTGCTTTCCTGAATCAACTGTTAAAAGAAAGTAATTAATGTTTATGTTATTAAGGAAATTCAATATAAAGCTTTAAAATCTGTTATAAATGTTCTTAGTTCATTATCGATCAGGAAATGAATATCTACTAAATAAATCCACGTAGCTTTTTGGAATTGTTACGAGTTAGGTGAGGCAAAATGATGGTACTAAGATGTTTGCAAGTACGATATTTCTTTTGGGAGTATTGCAATTAAGAATTTAAGGGGTTTCAAGTTTTTGCACTCGCTGCTCTTAGCTTTAATGAGTTTCAAATTTGGTAAAGTTTCTTGCTTTGGGAGGGGCATGCAGTGGTTTAATTCAAGTTTTCATGTGAACATACGTGTTAACACACACATAGGAATAAAATTGTCTTCTCAGCTCAAGGGTCTGCTCTTCTTATTTTATGTAATAATGACTCTGAAAATTGGAACTCTGAGTAATGTTTTGCCTTCTTTCTTGCAGCTAAAGGTGTTGAGAATGTGGTGATTATAGGCTCAGGTCCTGCAGGATATACAGCAGCAATATATGCAGCTCGTGCAAATTTGAAGCCTGTAGTGTTCGAGGGGTTTCAAGTTGGTGGTGTTCCTGGGGGACAGTTAATGACAACTACCGAAGTGGAGAACTTTCCAGGATTTCCTGATGGAATTACTGGTCCAGATTTGATGGAGAGGTACTGAGAATTAGCAAGAAGAGAAGAGAAAGAAAAACATCGTTTTTAACTGTCCTTTTCTGGTGTGTTAAATTGTTGGCAGCTCCATTTGTCAGCCAAAACTGTTTCATAAATATATGACATTTTGTTGACTAGGATGCGGAAGCAAGCTGAGCGTTGGGGAGCGGAACTGTTCCAAGAAGATGTAGAATTTATTGATGTTAAAACAATGCCTTTTAGCGTGCAAAGCAGTGAACGTAAGGTGATGTAGAGATTGCATGGAATGCTTTTCCATGATGTGTTGAAGTGATTGCATAAGTTTTAGTTTCTAAAATATTTCATCACTTAAACATTTACTCCTAGACTTTGATATCAGCAAGAAGTTTGGCCTTACATGAACTTTTTCATTGGTCTGTACTGATTCACCATGACCAATGAATATGGTATTCTATTTTGAAATTCTGCTTTTGGAATGGGGCTGCTTTTCCTGTCAACTACATACTCTTATCTTATATGATCTATTCGTATTATACAATGCAAACTTTTACCCATGACTTCTATTTTCTGGCTACTTGCTGTTGCTATATTTCATGGAATTGTTGCATTTTTTATTTTCATTTAAAGTATGAAGCTTAAATTTTACATGAACAATGTATATATGTTTGTTTATATGTACATAATGTGTAAAATTTGCGTTGGGCAGCAATTGTGCTAATAATGTGACATGTAGGTATACTGGGATGCATATAGTAACTATCTTATTAGAGGCATAGGGAATAGTCCTCATCTTTTGATTTATGAAAAAGTGTTGCCAACAAAATAGTCCTCATCTTTTGATTTATGAAAAACTGTTGCCATCAATTATCCTGTTTTAGAATTATATTTTCACATTTCAGGTGAAGTGTCACAGTCTCATTTTTGCAACTGGAGCCACTGCAAAAAGGCTCAAGTTACCCCGTGAAGATGAATTTTGGAGTAGGGGAATCAGTGCTTGTGCAATTTGTGATGGTGCGTCACCATTGTTTAAGGGCCAAGTACTTGCAGTGGTTGGAGGTGGTGATACGGCCACAGAGGAAGCCTTGTACTTAACTAAATATGCACGCCATGTTCATTTACTTGTACGAAGGGACCAATTGAGGGCATCCAGAGCAATGCAAGATAGGTGAGTTTTGATGAAAAAATGTTTAGTTGTATCGGCAACCTTTTTTACTGTATTTGTGTCAGTTCTTGTCTTATTGGTTGTTTCCATACGTAGTTCTCAACTAGCAATCCATTTAGTACACTGAGACATCTGTTGGCAGTCGAGGGTTCTGTTAGTTGCACGTTTTTATTGTGCATGACATGTATTTCCCATATAATCTTCTCATATCTTTATTGATGCCTTTCCCATAATTTTCTCAAAAGGAATTATGTTTTTTAGTTCCATTTTTCATGATTGCATTAGTATCTTATCTGGGCCAAAGGGTTTCTTTTTCATCATAGTTTCTTTTTTATATTCTTTTCCTATTTTGCTACATTGATGGTGGTGAATTATATACTAATGAGCATTTTGTACGTTGAGTTTTCAACTCCCTGGATGTTTGTTTAACAGGTTGATTATCGCGAATGTTTCAGAGTGTTCAACAATCCAAATGTGACTGTACACTTCAACACAGAGGCTGTGGATGTCATTAGCAATACTAAAGGCCAGATGTCTGGCATTTTAATCAGAAAAGTTAGCACAGGGGAGGAATCTGTGCTTGAGGCAAAAGGCTTATTTTATGGTATAGGACATTCACCAAACAGTCAGTTGTTGGAAGGCCAAGTTGAACTTGACAGCTCAGGGTATGTGCTAGTCCAGGAAGGTACTGCAAAAACTTCTGTTGAAGGTGTATTTGCAGCTGGAGATGTGCAGGTAATATTTTATGGTTGTTTTTCTAGATTATATATAATACATTTCCAGTATTGAAACTAACATCTATCTTATGCTTATCTATTGCGTACTTGCTTGTGACATGATTCCTTGTTCATTTTATAGGACCATGAGTGGAGACAAGCCATAACTGCTGCTGGATCTGGATGTATAGCTGCTTTATCAGCTGAGAGATACCTTGCGAGCAATAATCTCCTTGTTGAATTTCACCAGGTAATTTGATACTACTAATAAATTTAACAGTTCTTTTAGTAATTGTCCTTGGTTAACTCTGTTCCTCAGGTACTAGTCAAAAACTGATGGTTCAAGTTGGGTTTCTCTGTTTTTAGAAACTGACATTGGAAAAATATGCCATTTGTTTTGGGTTTTACTTGGTCCCCAACAAAGTTGATCCTCTTCATGTTTTGGTATTTGACAGCCTCAAACAGAAGACGTCAAGAAGGAACTCACTGACAGAGATGTCCAAGAAGGATTTGACATCACCATCACAAAGCATAAGGGACAGGTGTGTGTTACTTCAAAAGGATTCTAGTCTTCACAATAAATTCATTTTGAATTCATATCTTATTGACTCAAATTTTTTTTCACTTAAAAAGTTTTTAAAAATAACCTTGGAAGCTTCTGCTTACTCAGTTTTTCATTTTCCTCCTCAGTATGCTTTAAGAAAGTTGTACCATGAAAGTCCAAGGCTTCTCTGTGTATTATATACTTCACCAACTTGTGGTCCCTGTAGGACTTTGAAGCCAATTCTCAGCAAGGTACTTTTCTACTTATTTTGTTTGGTGCCCAATGTCCTTTAGTTTCAGTATGGATTTACATTCTTAAGTTGGATATAACAGTTCCAGTTTGTAAATTTCGTTCTGGTGGGAGCTTTTTTGCTTGGAAATTTCTGATGAAGTGACAATTGTAGGTGATATCCCAATAAACGGTAGTACTTTTTGCTGTCTACTAGAGATATGCTTTTGAAATCTGTCAGTTGGGTGTCTTGAAGATGACTGTATGGGTGTAGTATGTCATAGCTAAAGTTATAATCGAAAGTATACAAAAAATGATGCAACCCAAAAAACTTATGTCATGGCCACCTCAAATTGGCTCGAATGTAAAAAATGGTACCATGGTAATGCAACCATAAAGGGAAAAAAATAAGCAGATTATTGTTTCATGGATGATCTGTGATATTTATTCATTTCATTGTGGTTATATTTTGCATTAATCTCATAACTTCCTGTGGTTGCAGGTCATTGATGAATTTGATCAGAATGTGCATTTTGTTGAGATTGATATTGAGGAAGATCCAGAAATAGCTGAAGCTGCTGGAATTATGGGTACACCATGTGTGCAGTTTTTCAAGAATAAGGAGATGCTCAGGTTGGTTACAGTTTGGTTCATTCATACTGTATTAGTTTCTCATTGTAGTTTGTATTCCATTTACAAACTTCTGGAGCATGGAAATAGTGTGAGGGAAACCCATCAACTCTTGTTTTTTCATACTGAATACATGAAATCTTTAGATTATGGAAGTTGCTGACTCTTCACTATGAATTCTATATGATGGTTATGCAGGATTGTATCGGGTGTCAAAATGAAGAAAGAATACAGAGAATTTATTGAGGCAAATAAATGAGAGTATTCTAGATATACTTGTTTTGCTGGTGCCATCATTTTGTCATTCAATTTTGTTCCTTCCGAACCCAAACTGGTTAGTTGATTAATGCTTTCGATTCTTACAATTATACCTTGTGTCAATCAGCTACGTTGTAAATTGTACATGCAGAGTAGGGGTGGCTGTGGATCAACCCGAGCTTGAGTAGCGTGCTGAAACTCTGGTTATGCTGGCATGCTTTTGTTTGATAAAGTAAACAAATCCAGAGGAAAAATTGTTATTTTTGAAAAATCTGCATTTCTATTCTCTATCTTGCTTTATGAGAATTGAAATAAAATAGTTACAAAACATAACCAAAGGTCAATAAAAGATGTACAAATTCAGATTTATTTTCATGATGCATGCCTCTTAATCGAGAAAACTTGACTTTGAGATCTTCCGTCAATTACTTTGTGCTGACTTTCTTTCAAGACACTCCTACATCTCTTGGGAGGAGAAGGATTTCTTTTTCCACGAAGAGGGTTGTTTGCAACTTTGTTGGAGGGATGCTTTAGCGTAAAGCTTCAATAACAAGGTCAATGTTTGTTTCATTGTCTTTCAACACCATGAGAACGATGACCCAGATGCATAGAACGAATAGAAGCATCAAGTCCCGGCATTTTGAATGATGCAGCTGAACCTTAAAAATTGTCTAGACGACTACCTCACCCTTCAGCATTTTGTACCCGAGGACCAGAGAATCAAATTAAAGCCCAATTGATTCTTGTACTGGATCTGTTTTACAAGTTAATTGAATATTGCAATCCCATCACATGAACTAAACTTTGATCAATCTTGTGAGATTATTTAGCATTATTAGCGGTTGTGATGCCCACGACATAAGTTATGTATGCCTGAGGACTACTGCCAAAAGAGATTAGGTAGCTCTGGAATGAGTCTGATGATTCTGGATGCCATCATCATAAACATTGAGATTCACAGCGAGGATTGTTGATGGATGACATGCATATATACACATACATATACATACACTTGAAAGACATGAGTAGAGTGGGGAAGTGAAGGATTTTTGCTTAACACAAACAGCGGCTGCAATTCCTGCGCCCGTCAAGGCATTGGGTACAAAAAGAGCAACAATCATCATCCAACCTTCCGTTACAGAAATGCAGCAGAGAAGATTGACGCAGTAGTGGCCATAAGAGGAGAAGCCCATATGAAATTTCACCATTTAGGAGATTAATTTTCCTGAAGATCGGGGTATCATCAAGAAAGCCTCTGCCTGTGAGGACCTGCAAGTTCTTTCCTAAGTTAACTCGGCAAGATATCCACTACTTGACATAAACTCAATAATGTGTTGGAGGAGTTATGACCTATAATAAATTTTTTAAAATTCATATATTTTAATGAATAGGCGGTAAATATACGTTAATGAGAATATATAGAATATACAACTTAACATGAACTTATATTTTTACGAAGAAAGATAGAAGTACAACAACGTATATTAAAGAAATAGATGGTGAGTGATATTAATTTTCTAATATCTTATACAAAAATAGAAAAAAAAAAAAAATTGGTGTGAGCATGAACCATAAAAAGATAGACGATCAAGCCCGAAAATATGAAAAAGATGTTCAAGAATAGATCAATGAAAATGATGGGATTGGATTAAGTGAAGAAGCCCACTAAAAAAGAAAACGAGCCCATTAACTCAAGGATATAATGGTCCCTACAATTCAATCCAAGTAGAAGAGGGAATCAAACAAGAAAAGGTAAGAGAATTCTACTATAAAGGAGAGATCTTCCAACCTGTGAAAGAGAAATTCCTATGAGATTTTCTTTCCTAATCCAGTAGAAATCTTCCCCTTTAAGAGGGAGATTTGGCTGGGGGAACATCTCTTAGAACAACAAAGTGTGTCAATAGAAGAGAAAAAATCATTAAATGTCAAATCTTGTAAAAAAAGAAAAGCACTTGAGCAGCCATTATGGGACCTTTAATGGCCGGCTGTAATTTTTCAAAATTACTTTTTCTAAATCAATTACTATTAATTAAAATATTTTCTATTTAAAAATAAAGATCATTCTATTCTATTTTAGAAAATAATTCTTTTAATTGTTGCAAATTTCATATTATATTTTAAATTTATTTTCCTATGTAATTTTGTCATAAATTTTAGGAGATTGTTTTCCTTATTATTCACATAACCTACATAATAAATAGGTCATCAATTCACAATTGTATTTATTTAAGTTTACATCAATAAAATTAAAGAGTTATTTTCAACTAATGAGATATCTTTAACTTTCTTGTTGAGTAAGAATTTGATCAACTTATCAAAGTATTTTTGTGTCTTTTTTCCATTCGTTTAATTTTTTAGTGATTTTAGTTCCTATCACTCTATTGATAGCAAGTATGGAGAGTTTTTATAGGATTTAAGTCTTTGGTGTCTTAATGACATTGTGTGAGTTCTGTATTGTATCGTTGATCCTAAATTCCACATCATTTGGTATCAGAATCAAGTTTAACATAAACTTTACTACCTTTATATCTTTTATCCTTGCATCATTTTTATTATCCTTAGTAAAAAAAAAACCAAGTAAGAAGCATACCCGATTGATGTTTCCTTGTTACATTTGGTTATTAGTTTTTGTCTTTGCATCCTTCATGAAAATAAAATTTAAAAAAACATCAAATACATTTTGAATTTCTTTTATTTTATTGTGTTGTTTTGTTCCAATACATCATTAAGTAGGTAATTACAGCGTAGCTACTTAACCTTATACACAAACACACATCTTTTATATCCGTGTGTTTTTCTATTATCATCTAGATTCATTTCTTGCTTTTCTCAGTTAGAATTCCTTGAAGAGTCATAAACAAAACTTGATTATTTTGATTTAAAGGAATTCAATTTTGACATTCAATGTAATGCTCAAAATTTAATTTTAAAATATTTAAAATTAATGTATAAAATATAATTTTTTTATAAATTTTTATTTAACATAAAAATTAAGAAAAATAGGTGGATGATGAAATTGAAAATAATTTTGGAAAAAATTGGGTGAAAGTTTGAGTTCTAAGATATTTTTGAAAGAAAAATCGAAAACTGGGGGTCAAAATATAATTTAAAAAAAAATGTGCCACGTATGACACCCAGTCAGCAGCTCCGACGAAATAGAGCGCGCCGCGTGGCAAAGCACGTTGATGCGGTGCATCGCAGGAGGCCACGCTGGCAATCTGCGTACTCGCGATCGTACGATCTGGATTTGTTCCTGCGCATGTGGACGATCTGGCCGTTCATTCTTTAAACACGATCATACGGTCTATATCAAATCGCGATAAACTATCTAGATTTACTTCTTATTTAAACACAATCGGATGGTTCAGATCAAACACGATGGATGATCTAGATTAAAAGAGGATGGATATAAATACCTCACTTCACATCAAACCCTAACCCTATCAACCAGCCCCCCGCCGGAGAAGAAGAACCAGTCACCGGGAAGGGAGTCGATTGCCACCCACCGCTGCACCGGAGCCACCTCTGACTGCCAAAAAGGTAAAAAATTCTCTCAATTACTCGAAATTTGATTTTGAACACCCTTATGGCCAAATCAGAGCAAAAGAACCAGCAGATGAGTCAGAAACTGCGGGTAAAGCCCAGCGGTGCCGCCGCAAAAAAAATAAAAAACTGCATCCGATGAGGTCCTTTTCGATTATCGTTTCGTAAAATTTTTTCACTATTGTATTCACCATTTTGTTTCCCACAGGTTGACTGAAGAAAAACGTCCAACTGCGAAGGTGAGCTGGCGAAGCTGCCGCACCGAAAAACCCTACTGTCGATAAGCTTCTTTTTTTTATTTTTTCTGGCCAACCGAGACCCCTTAATGTGTTTTCTTGTAGGAATGAGCACAAAATCGGCAAAAATCGGTCGAAACTAGCCGAAAACGACCAACTCGAGGTAAACTGCCCCCGCAAACGACGGTGTTGTCGCCAGAGCACTGCAACACCGTCGTGCCGGAATTCTAAAATTGGCCAGAAAGGGTTTTTAACACCAATTTTGCGTTTTTTAGGGGTATTTCAAGTACTTGGAGCGTCTTTTAATCTCCGTAGAAAAATTCAGGGACCCTGGGGGTCGCTAGTAGGCGCGACTGAAAGTTTAGTGTTCGAACACCGATTTGAATAAGAATTACTCACCCTATTCCTTGTATAGAATTGAAATTTAGTTATAAATAATGTGATGTTTTGTACAATTTAGAAAATTTTGATAATTAATCACAGATTATTAATGGAGGTAGAGCTGGTTTTTATTCACTGTTTATCCTGTTTGATTGATTTTATAATTTCATATGCATAATAGTACACTGGAGTTGGTATGATGATCTGTTGTATTTCCTTTATGCGTGTATTGCTTGCTCTGCGTGATTTACAGTTGAATTGTGAAACTGAAAACTAAATGTAAACGACGAATTATTTGATTAAGTGATTGAATGAATGATAGCCTTACTGTATATCTAGGGAGATGGTGGATAGATCGGGTACATAGGGAACCCTACCGTGAACATTACCTCATACCTGATGGGGTATCGAAGATTGATATTTTAGCGTTCATACCGGACGGGGTATGGAGACGGCCCGTTTCACCCTCATATGAGATGAGGTATTGAGGGATGGTATTTTTGGCACTCATATCCAATGGGGTATGGGGACGGTTGGTTACTTGAAAATGTTAATTAAGGGTTTACGCGTAGTGGAGACATCCCTATGGACCACCACGAAAACCAGTAGGCAGATAAAAGGCGAAAGCTGTTATTCTTACTTAATTAGACATGAGATTGTGATATTATCGTATTATTGCCTCTATATGTCAGTTTTAAAAATTTCACTACGGTAAGTGTACAATAAATGATTTTAGTTATGATAAATGAATTTACTCAAATTAAGAGCTCCATTGGTGGTTTTCATAATTTTTACCAACATTCATTTCTGTATCGATGAGTAGCGTGATATTCTTACTATGTTAGTATAGCTCATTCTTTTATTAACCATTTCAGATCAAGAGGACAAAGATCCAGATCCTGATCTACAAGAAGATTGCGAATAGGATGTTCAGTTGTTTACTTTCTAATTTATTTCTTTAATTTTTCATTGTTCG